AAATACATACAGGTTGATCATGGACAGTGAGGAGGGTGGTCCCATTTTTTCACTTAGATTGCAGACCTTGGAATATAGTTGCATGAAAACACTTCCACATTTATTCCTTCCTCATTTTATTGCTATTACTTCCCCCCCCCCCGTTTAAATTTTATAAGCCATTTCTACGCAGATAATTGCGATAGCTCAGGAAATCAAGCAGCTTTTTAATTTTTCCCTCCAAGAGAAAGGATATTCTTTAGAGATTACATTTTGTAATCAGAAATGGAGGGGAGAACCCAGCAAGATTGTCTTGTTGAAATTATATGTAGGCAGCATGAAAATCCATGGCCAGTCTGTCACTCTTAAAAACCAAATTACCTACCAAAGCAACAAGAATTAGGAAAGATTAAATATACTCTTTAAAAATCCACTTTTGATTTTTTTCTGCCAACATTAAGAATTCCTTTTGGAAATATAATAACTATTGAGACAAAATTCAGTAAAGCTATTTATAGTCCAGGGGAAATAGTATTTTGTGTTGAGGAGGTGAGTTACACAGCAGGTTATGTCAGCACAGGCAGGTGAGATTCAACATTCTTTACTTCTTTCTCCTTTTTCTCCCTTTATGAGACGTCCCTGGTTTTCTGCACTTAGTTTTACTAAGCTTCACTTTGCTTCACCAGCTGACTAGGGTCTGGGCAGGCAGCACATATGTGATGTCCTGAAAACACACTGCCCTATGTAAACAATTGTTTTTGGCAATTCGGAGGTTTCGTGGCAGGATTGCATCTTTTCCCTCCTCAAAATGAAATGTTTAGGCCAAAGTTAGAACTACATGTGCAGTTTTATGAACTGGCATATTCAAACGTTACAATTGTGTGTTTAAAAGGGGAATTTAATCTTTTTTTCTTTCTTCTTTGGAACTCCTTCTTTCCCTAGTTCCATTGTTTTCTCTTTTACAGAACATTTTCATATCTTAGTATATCTATTCAGCATCTGTTTCTCCTCAATAACAATTCTCATTCAAAAATAATAACTCTTTGTCCTCTTTGGACATGTTTTGTTTTGCCCCCACCTATGAAGTTCACCGGCATGTGTTGAAGGTTAACAGCTCCATTTCTGGAATTCTCTTGGATCCGTTTTGGAGCAAAGTGCCAAAGTATATAAGGAGGGCTCAAATGTATCTGGACTCTGCCAAGTCCTGAGAGGAAGGCTCCACAGAGCTGCACCTTTGCCAGCTCCCTTCTGTTCTCACTGGGCCTGGCTTCTTCATGATTCCACACACGACCTTTTATCATTTGCTCATATGGAAAAAGAACCTTTGGATGAATAGAAGCAACAGAATCGTTATTTATGCAACAACACTCTAACTTGTCCATTAACAGGTAGAAAATTGTTTCTTACCTTACTGAGTTTTCTACTCTTCTACTTTCCATCCCACAGCACCCAGGGTCATGAATGGTTCCATTGATCATTTTCTAATGGTCCCATCAATCAATTGTCAACAATGACCAAAGTTGCTCAAAGAGCTTTTCCCACAATTACTGTTAATAGTAGAAAGAGTAGGTGTATGACAAAGGCCCTGCTGGAAATGGTAGAAGGGACTCTTTTACAGTGTTTTGCCTGAGGGGCATTGGGTCACAGGGTCACTCCATGAACATCCTGTCTATCCTACTAGATGTGTTAGGCTGTTTGCTTCAGTTGTAACTTTCTGGTGCAAGAGGCAGTAACTCAACCCAAAGTGGTTCAAGCAGAAAGAGATTTTAGTGGCTTGTATAAATGAAAAGCTCAGAGTTGCAGCTGTCTTCTTATGTAGCTAAAATGTGGGGCTCAGGTGATATAAGGCCACTGATTTCTCTCATTTTATAAATCTTTTAGTGTTGGCTCATTCATAGGCAAGCTCTCCTTTCAGACTCACAATCTGGCTGCAGAAGCTTCAGAACTTATATCTTCTCTGTTTCACATCCATAAGGAATCACTGCAGGCCGACTTTTGATAATAGAAGGGTCAGCCTCATAAAACTGGATCACCAGTGGCTCTGGAAAGAGGAACACTGCTGGAGATCTGACACTCCTGGAGATTAACTAACCCTGGAGCCATCCTACCTCAGGACTTGTGATTGGAAACAATAACTTATTCTTACTGATTAAACTATTTTATGTTAAGTTTTCTTGTTATAAGGGAAATTATCTTTTTAAAAAATATATATTTTTATTGATTTCAGAGAGGAAGGGAGAGGGAGAGAGAGAGATAGAAATATCAATGAGAGAGAATCATTGATCGGCTGCCTCCTGCATGACCCCGGGACCGAGCCCACAAGCTGGGCATGTGCTCTTGACTGGAATCGAACCTGGGACCCTTCAGTCCGCAGCCAATGCTCTATCCACTGTGCCAAACCAGCTAGGGCGGGAAATTATCTTTTTTACTCTTTCATATTTTAGCCTACATTTTCTTCTAGTTCCATTGTTTCTCTTATTTGGTTCATTCAGCAGAAAGCATCCTAACTGATCATTGTCATACTGGCTCTAATTGGGTCATATATGCATCACTGACCACACATAATGGGAATGTGCTGTGTGATTGGCCTCAGCCTCAATGCCCCCGTCCACTTCTGCAGGGGGATGAGTGTATCCCATCCGACTACATGGACTGAGTGTGGAGAAAGGGGAAGAATATCTACTGGGAAATGAGGGTATGGTTTCCATTAAACAGTGAAATAGATACTGTGAAGGAAAAACATCATGTGTCCAGTACTTTATCCTTTTGAATGTGCCTTTTATTACAGAGTGGCCTGAAATTGTCAGTATAGTAAATTAAGGAGTTGTGATTTGTTACTTGGTCTGGTAGCCCAGAATACATAACTTTGAAGGTTTTAAATCAAAGGCAGAGATGCTATGCTATTGAATCATCTCGTTAGCCTATGAATCAATATGTTTCCTCAATTAGGGCCTCATATCTCGAGCTTTGGAACATCAGCCATTTCAAGGAAAGTGGCTCATGGCCAAGACAGACAAAGGCTGGGTTGCTTAACAATCTAGTACTCTCAAAGGATATTGGGAAACCCGGGCAGCTTTTAAGTGGCATGTGCCATCCCACAGGCCCGGTGTTTTTTTCTGGCCCTTTTCCTCATACCCCTGAAATTCATTTGGTCTCATGGCTCTCAGACTCAGCCTGGTATGTAGAACAGTGGGGTCTCAGGTCAGGTTGTGTCTAGTGATTTCAGTTGTGCTGTTGGCTGGAATTCCATCTGTCAAGTAGGTTTTACAGTCAGCCATTCGATAGCAGTAGGGTTAGCCCATGAAACTGGACTTCCTGCATATCTGGAAACAGGAGCACCCCTGGAGATCTGACATGCTCTGAGAAAATTAGGAGTTAGTTTTAGCTATTCCTGGTTAGTCTCTGTTGAACCTAATGTATTCCAACACTTGAGGATAAAACACACCCCCCCCCCCCCCGCCCCGCCACACACACACACAGAGACAGAATAATTTATTTTTTTATTGTGAAGTTAAGCAACTTCATGGAAAGAGAATCTAATCAACATTGAACTATTGTCTCCACAGTAATTTTCTCTTTGTCAATTGACAGACATGGATTTTCATTTACTTATAATTAGTGTGAGCATACTAATTTTTGTTTAAGAAAGGTTTTCTTTACCTTGGCATTCTGATTTGTTTTCATAGATGGAAAAAAAAAATCAGTGAGAAGGAGAAGGAATCATCCCTGGAGAGTTGGGAGGAATATGTGGGGTCATACTCTCCCAGAGTTAAAGAAACCGTAAAGGACCCTGAACCCCTCCCCACATCTTTGATGACTGCCTTTTTAGACTGATAGTCACCGGAGCAGCTTTCCCAAGCGAGCAAGGACCTCTCCCAATTTCACTCCACAACACCCAGGGGGGACCCTCCCTTACAAAGGAAAAATGAAATCCATCCTTTAGGTGTGCTAGGGTCCACTTGTCTGCCATGGGCCTATACCTTTGCCCCTTGCTTTACTGTGTTGTTAGGTTATTTCACTGGTTTCCCACACAGGAAGGAAGTGGAAATGATGCCCCTCTGGGACAGTCCTCCATATCATTCCCTCTAATGTCTTTTTTTTTTTTAAAGTGCAATTGCACACCAATAGTTTCTAATCTATCAAAACATAAGTTAAGGAAGTAGTGAAGTTAGGTTTAATTAAAACCACAATTATTTGTACAGCTGTCCCTGGGTTCATGGCTTGTAAAAGAATTTAGCTTCAAACCCTGCTGCCTAAGTCCTTTGGGAGTTTCACACAAAACCCTTTACGTGCCACCTGGGCAGTGCCTGCCCCAGTTTCACCAGTCACGTCAGGAGCAGGCCTGGAGGGCTTCGCCCTGATGCCACTTCCATGGTCAGGCTCTCCAAGCACCTGTTGCATGGGGCAAGGCGGAGAACGGCAGAACTTTGAGACACAGTCATTTTCTTTTGTTTGGGGGGCCTAGCAGCCTTTAAGGATACTTCAAGAAATTCTTGCAAATTCTCCTAGGGCTGTGAGAAAGGGAGAGAGAAGAATCAGGCACAGTCTTCCTTTGTGAGCTTTTCTCTGGTTCTTTACACTTTCACTCCCAGGAGGGTCTTTTATGTTCCTCCCACCCCCAGCCCCAGAGCGTTAATGGACATTGGCAAGCATCTTTCAAAGGGGATGGGGGTGGGGTAATGCTGCAGATATGTATGCACATAGCGGCATGTTTTCTCAGCAGGACCCCAGAGAGGAGGATGAATTAGAGCTCAGCATCTGGCTGATTTTCAAGTGCCCGTGCAGCAGCGCTTCCAGCAGCCTGGATCTGAACAAGGCGATTTGGACTTTAAGCAAATGCACTGGCCAGCGCGGATCACTGACCGCGGGCCAGGGGCGGGGCCAGCGCCACAAGTCGAGAGGCCTGGAAGCCTGGGAGCCGCGGGTTAGGAAATGTGACCCCGGCGACCTCAAACACCCACCTCCTCCCTCGATCGCTGCCCCACCTGCCCGCGGAGCGCACAGAGCCAGCCAAGGAGACAATGGCCAGCCCCGCGCCCTTAGTGGCCTCCATCAGCCACCAAATGTTGGCTTTGCAGACCCTGCAGCTCCTGCAGCAGGAGTGGGGCTGGGGGGACGGACCGGGCGCCCGTGGAAATTCGCGCGACCCGGACCACGTGTCTGCCACTCCAGCGCATCGCTCAGGCCTGCGGCGGGCCCGGGCGGGGCTGGGGCGGGAGGAGGGCAGCGGAGGCCGGGGGTTGAGGAATGGGGAGCTCTGGGGGCAGGCGAGCTCCCCGGAGGTAGAAGTAGTGCCAGGCGCCGAGGGGGGTGCGGAGCTGCTGCCCTGCCCCCAGGGCCGCGGCCATGCACCCTGGCCCGGATGGCAATGCGCAGTGCACTGGCCCGTGTGGTGGACTCGACCTCAGAGCTGGTCAGTGTGGAGCAGACGTTGCTGAGTCCCCTGCTGCAGGAGCGATCCTTCCCCATCCACCTGAAGGTGAGTCTGGCCTCCAGCACACCCCTCGAGAGCCGGATTCCCCTGCTGGGAGCCGGATTCCCCTGCTGGCCGGGGCTGCAGGGCCCAGATGGAGACTGGGTGGGGTCACAGGATCCCAAGCTGAGCTGCTCACTGCGCCTGGGAGAGTGAAGTGGGTGGGGATAGGAGGAGGACTCCGCACTTACGGCAGGGAACTCAGAGTGGGGAGTGAGGGGTGGGTGCGGAGGTGCCCACCTGGGGCCGCCTGAGTATGGAGCAGAGAAGCGGGAGAGGCCTTGCCAAAGGCCTCTGGAACTCCTTCCTCTCTTATGTAGTAAATCAGCTTCCTGCTCCAGCTGAAGGCCCTTTCCACAGGCATGGAGGACAGCTCCCCTACTCCCCCTTCCAACTTAACCCTTCTTCCAGGGCTGTAAATACACGTATTAAGTCACCACTGCCTCCTGTATGACAAAATCACCTACATTAATTTAAAGTCCTTTGAAACTTATGAATCACAGATAAGAGTGGGGTGGATCCCCAGTGTTGAAGCGTGAATTCTATATTTTTTTTTATCATATACTATATTTTTTTTAAAGTTTATTTTTATTGATTTCAGAGGAATGGAGAGGAAGAGAGAGATAGAAACATCAATGATGAGAGGGAATCGTTGGTTGGCTGCCTCCTGCACGTTGGACCAAGCCTGCAACCCAGACATGTGCCCTTGACCAGAATCAAACCTGGGACCCTTCCATCCACAGGCCAACACTCTATCCACTGAGCCAAACTGGCCAGGGGCAAAGCGTGAATTCTAATGCTAACCTCCTACTAAGTCACGCACCTCATGTTTATAGAGTGCATTTTCTTCTTAAGATACCCAACTGTCAGGAAACAGAGCAGCTGCCTCCCAGGCTGAGAAGGATCCTGGAAATCTGGGGGTCTGGGTTACAGTGTTGGTCTTGACATTAATTAACCTAACTGGTGGTTTAAGGTCACAATCTCTTGGAGGCCTTGTGGCTTTCCAGTTTTGACTTGGAGTATTGCATCATTCATTTCCCTTGGGAGTCTAGCAGAAGGAACTGGGAAGGGGTGATGAAGAAAGCTTAGAGCACTTCTCAAGAATTGCTATTCATGCTTTACAAGCCAAGGTTTGGAAAAAAATTGCTACATATTAGATTGCATACTCACTATAAAAGACTGATTTAAAAACCAAACATAATAAAGCATATCATACATCCAAATAAGCATTATTACTCTACCTTAGGGTTTCTCAGCCTCTGCTTTATTGACATTTTGTGCTGGACAATTGTTATGGGGGTTTGTCCTGTGTCTCTATCCAGTAGATGCCAGCAGCATACCTCCCTGGCACCCTACCCCCCCACCTTGAGTTGATAAAACCAAATATTGCCAAATGTGCGTGCATGAGAGGGAAAGCTGGAATGCCTCCAGATGCAAAGCACTGCTCCATTCACCTTAGAAAATTAAAAAATGAAGCTGCATTTCACCAATGCTCTTGAGTTAAGATGCACCTTTTTATGTACTTCCAAGAAATAAAAAAAAATCCTGCCAATTATATTATGACAGACCTTTGATTGTAAGATAGTCTCATTTCAGAGATTTTTTTGAAATGGGAAAAAATGTACATCCTAGAATTGATGAAATAGGAAGCATTGTGTGATACTAGGAGCATATACAAGACATATAGGCTGGCAAAAGGAGAGACTGAGTGATCAGTTTTACCTAAGGTGATCCTGGCAGGTTTCTTGTAGGAGGTAACCTTTTAAAAAAGTGAATGTTTGCTCTCCAGGCATTAAAGGGAAAACACATTTTAAGGGAGCTGTATGATCTAAGATCCAGAAGCAATGCAAGGGCCTGAGTTTGGGGGAATTAAAATTAGTTCACTATGGCAGAAGGCAAAAAATAGCATGAAGGCAGAGAAACCATCTCCATAATAACAATGGGTACTTTGTAGTACTTTACTCTTTTTTTCTATTGTTTAAAGTATTACATACGTCTCCCTTTCCCAATATTGACCCCCCCCCTGCTACTCCCACCCCCCAAGGTAAGCCCCCACCTCCCCAGTGTCTGTGTCCATTGGTTATGCGAATATGCATGCATACAAGTCCTTTGGTTGATTTCTAACCACCCCTCCTCCCCTGCCTTCTTTCTGAGGGTAGACTGTCTGTTCAGTGCTACCTTGTCTCTTTTTGTTCATCAGTTTATATTGATCATTATATCACACAAATGAGTGAGATCATGTGATATTTATCTTTCTCTGGCTGGCTTATTTCGCTTAACATAATGCTCTCCAGTTCCATCCATGCTGTTGCAAATGGTAAAAGTTCCTTCTTTTTTACAGCAGTGTAGTATTCCATTGTGTAGATGTACCACAGTTTTCTAATCCACTCATCTGCTGATGGGCACATAAGGCTGCTTCCAAATCTTAGCTATTGTAAATTGTGCTGCTATGAACATAGGGGTGCATATATCCTTTCTGATTGGTGTTTGTGGTTTCTTGGGATATAGTCCTGGAAGTGGGATTACTGGGTCAAATGGAAGTTTCATTTTTAACTTTTTTTTAAATTAAATCTTTATTGTTCAGATTATTACATTGGTTCCTCTTTTTTCCCCCACCATAACTCCCCTCCACCCAGTTCCCACCCCACCCTCCGCCCTCACTCCCCACCCACTGTCCTCATCCATAGGTGCACGATTATTGTCCAAACTCTTCCTGCACCCCCACACCCCTTTCCCCCCCAAGAATAGTCAGTCCATTCCCTTTCTAGGTCCCTGATTCTATTATAATCACCAGTTCATACTGTTCATCAGATTATTTATTCACTTGATTTTTAGATTCACTTGTTGATAGATGTGTATTTGTTGTTCATAATTTTTATCTTTACCTTTTTCTTCTTCCTCTTCTTAAAGGATACCTTTCAGCATTTCATATAATACTGGTTTGGTGGTGATGAACTCCTTTAGCTTTTTCTTATCTGTGAAGCTCTTTATCTGACCTTCACTTCTGAATGATAGCTTTGCTGGATAAAGTAATCTTGGTTGTAGGTTCTTGGCATTCATCACTTTGAATATTTCTTGCCACTCCCTTCTGGCCTGCAAAGTTTCTGACAGTCATATGGGTACTCCCTTCTAGGTAACTGACTTGCTTTCTCTTGCTGCTTTTAGGATACTCTCTTTGTCTTTTGCTCTTGGCATTTTAATTATGATGTGTCTTGGTGTGGTCCTCTTTGGATTCCTTTTGTTTGGAGTTCTCTGCACTTCCTGGACTTGTAAGTCTATTTCTTTCACCAGGTAGGGGAAGTTCTCTGTCATTATTTCTTCAAATAGGTTTTCAATATCTTGCTGTCTCTCTTCTTTTGGCACCCCTATAATTCGGATGTTGGTACGCTTGAAGCTGTCCCAGAGGCTCCTTACACTATCTTCGTATTTTTGGATTCTTTTTTCATTTTGGTTTTCCGGTTGGGTGTTTTTTGCTTCTTCGTATTTCAAGTCTTTGACTTGATTCTTGCGATCCTCTGGTCTGCTGTTGGGAGTCTGTATAATATTCTTTATTTCAGTCAGTGTATGCTTAATTTCTAGTTGGTCCTTTATCACAACATCGAGGGTCTCACTAGATTTCTTGAGGGTCTCATTAAATTTATTGGCAGTTTCTAGAAAATTCTTGAAAAACCTAAAAAGTGTGGTTTTGAACTCTATATCCAGTAGTTTGCTTTCCTCCATTTCTGCCATTTGTGTCCTGTTTCTTTGTCTTGGCATTTTTTATGCTTCGCTGTGTCGATAGAGTGGCTTTCTGTGCTAAGTGTCCCAATTACCTGAGGTTGACACTCTTAGTGCACCCCCTTGTGGGTTTTGTGCACAGTCTTGTTGTAGTTAAGCCTTGATTGTTGTAGGTAAAACTGGGAGGATTTGACCTCCAGGCCAATTGGCTGTGAGAATCAGCTGTGTCTACGGTGGGAGAATTTCTGTGCTGAAGACACCCTTATGGGGCAAGACTTGCTTCAGTGGGGCTTTGGTGTTCACTGAGTCTGCCCCCTGAGTGTGTCCCTAATGGATCTGAGGAGTTGTAATTGGATGGTCCCACTCTGACCACTGGGTACACTGGCTCTTGGATCTAAGTAGGTGCTAATCTAGCCTCTGTCTGAGGCTACCCAGCAGAAGCCAGCTGTAAAGCCATGCAAGTTGCCCTGGAGCCTTGGGGCAGCTGCAGTTTGTTAAGTTATTTTCAGATTACAAAGGGCCGGGCCTTTCATATGCAAAAGCCTCCATGCACGGCTTGGGCGGGGCGGGGTCCCAGGGGATCAACAGGGCGGGCCGAGCGAGCAGTATGGCTGCTCTCAGTCCTGCCTTCAGAGTCCTGGCAATCGCTGAGAGTGCCTCCAAGATAAAGCTGCCCTCGAGTTCCGACCGATGCCAGACAGTCCAGTTTCTCCTGTATGAGTCTGGGTCCCCAGAGACTCGCTCGGAACTGGAGCTCAGAGCCTGAGACTCCCTCCCGATTGAAAAAAACAATCGTGTCCTCAGCCGCCAGCCCTCTCCGCATGCACCTCCGCACCTTTGTATTTACTTCAGCACCACACCTCCTCTGAGTCTCGGTATGCTTTTCTCTTTCCTTCTAGTTGTAGAAATTCCACTCAACCAGCCTTCCTGTGGTTCTGGTTGATGTCTGTTATGTCTTTTAGTTGTATTTTTGAAGTGGTTGTGCGAGGCAGCAATCTCCGGTGTTTACCTATGCCGCCATCTTGGTTTCTCCCCATTTTTAACTTTTTGAGGAAACTCCATACTGTTTTACAGAGTGGCTGCACCAGTCTGCATTCCCACCAGCAGTGCACTAGAGTTCATTTTTCTCCACATCCTTGCCAGTACTTTTCCTTTGTTGATTTGTTGATGATAGCCATTCTGACAGGTGTGAGCTGGTACCTCATTGTTGTTTTGATTTGCATCTCTCGGATGATTAGTGACTTTGAGCATGTTTTCATATGTCTCATGGCCTTCTGTAGGACCTCTTT